TCCTGCTGCAGTCTCCTAGAAATCTGTGATTCTCTGGTTTACATGGAAGACATCAGACAGGTGCAGGTCTCCATTTGCTTTATATGGTATACTGTGCTAGCTGATCTCTGCAAAAGGGTCCTTATACCCAAATCATCTTCTTAATACTCTTATGAAGTGTTGTGTGTCGGTACTAGGCAGCTCTGAAACAGTCTTACTCTAAGGGGAGAGTCACTCCTGGAACATCTGTAAGACTTTTTCATAAACCGTGATTACACCGAGTAGACTCTCTGACAGTGTGCAGTAAAGTGTGCACATGCCAAGGACGTGAAGCGCGGGGGAGAAGAGCTCAAACTGGAACGTAGTTAACTCAGCTGTAACGTGGGTGGGCCTTCAGCTTTGCCATCAGCACGCCTGGGAGAGTCAAAGCAGGACATGTAATCCTCTACCTGGATTGTACCGCTGGTGCTCTCACCTGCAGAAAGGCTCTTCAGGCAGTAGCGTTCTCTCTGCTGCTGTGTCAGGATGCTGCTGCATTATTGATTCAGAGTGGAGATTCCCCCATAGCTGCTCCCCCACATCACACGCAGTCTCCTTGGACATACAAAATAATACGTGCTCAGCAGACTCCTCCGCCTTGTGTATCTTAAGGTTTTTTCCCATAACCAAATCTTGTTTTCTTTACTCTAACAGATGGTTTCTTCCTATTTTACTGAACAAAAATTTTGGACACATAACCACGCTGTACTCCTTGCCTGGAGAATATTACAGTTGACTTTGGGATTAATTTTTAGCTATTCTGGTCTGCAGACCCCTGCCGCGTGCCTCTCCCTGCGGGGCAGGCCTCACTGTGGAGGAAGCAGATTGCCCTCTGCACCCCTACTGCAGCTAGTGTAGTCAAGCCTGAATGAAATGAAAAATGAAACTTATTCCTCTGTGGGCTGCTGTTTGACTTTGGTACAAAATGACTGGAATTCTAATTTCTTGTGCCATTGACCGCATCACAGACTCATGCCCTGCAGGCCCCAGGAAAAGAGTTTCAGGAAGCATCAGCAGTAGCTGAGCGGTCAGCACTGGGTGACTGTCAGGCTGGAAGGGTTCCTGTGGTTTGCACTCATGCTTTATTTTTGTTACCTCTTCCCTAAGATGTTGGTTCTTCACTAAATGCGTGTGGTGCAGCAGTGGTCAGAGCCTTCGCTGGGGACTCTGGCTGCTGCTGCAATACACATAAGGATTATGGTCTGTAGCTGTAACTTCTGCTTTGGCTCTACTGTGGAGGCATGAAACTGCCATTGTTGGCATCCCCACAGCAGCTAAGCAGGTCAAGGGAGATGTGCGGGGAAGTGGGCTGCCATATGCAAATGAGAGGGATTCCTTGAAAATAGTACTTCTGCCTTTTTCTGTACTTGCTTGAGACCGGTTAAGTGACATAGTGCTGAGCAGAGCTGTGCAAGCAGGCATTTGGCACTTCGGGGATATAGGTGTATCATTTCACATCAGTAGCGTTGTCAGTGTCCCATGTTTCCTTTAACGCTGGACCTTTCATTTCCTCTTTTTATTAGATCCCCATCAGTGCTTCCAGTGTATCTTGTAACTACGTTGCTTTGCCCTATGTTATATTCAAACTTCTTCCCTTTTTCTTTGGAGACCTGAATAACTGAGCCAACTTTGGCCCCTCTTAAACCAGATTCTGTTGTGAAATTACATTAGCCTCATACTATGCTGCTCTACAACCATCTCCACATGACTGTTCATTAAGTCTTGCCCTCACCCTTTTCCTTTAGCTCTGTCTCCCAGAATGCCTATGAGAAAATAGTGAACAGACACTCTTCCTTATTCAGCACTTCCACTCTAAGGACTCCTCAGCAAGGGACAGAAAGAGTATGGTATTCTTGTGGTGTCTTGCATTTCTTCATCCTAGCCAAGGATTTGCTATCCTTCATGTTTTGAATTGATGTTTGTAGGCCCCTTGTGGCATAGGTAACCTCTCTGGACTGTCTGGAGGGTTTTATCTCCAGTAGCTGTTACGGCAATGAACGTCTCTGCAGCACTGCAAGCTAGTGATGATCTGGTCTGCAGCCTCCTCATATTGCCTGTGGATTCACTCTAAATACCATCTGCTGGCTCGTGCTTCTTGCCTCTTGCAAAACTGGGATAGTTGAGCAGATTGGAGCAGAGCTTGTCCTGGAGGTGATTGGAACAATGACTACACTTAGCAGATAATCCAGGTGCTCTAGGTCTTCTCCTTAGGTGCTGTTAAGCTGCAGGGATCAATTTTAGCCTGCCAGTGTGCTGGGCAGCAATCCTGACACAGTAGTGCATCAAGAGCTGTTGTACTTTTTGCATTTCAAAGTAATTTTCCTTCTCTGTATGAACAAACTGTATTCCTTCCCAGGGTCTTAATGAGCTCCTCAGAGGGAGCTAGGGAGCCACAGAATGGGAAGTCTAAGCTTAAGAAGTTGAGAGGCCTTTAAACTCAAGAGGTGCAGAGCAGGAGGAGGCCTCATTCCCATATGCCCAGAGACTCATTTGTTTCTTCCTTGCTCCTCTGACAGTTTCAGATTGGCTTGGTGCCACAAAGCGTTGCCAAGAAGCTTGGATGAAGAGGAAAATGCTTTGCTGTAATACTCCACTGGTTTGAGTAGCAAAGAATTTATTGTGAATGGTTGTGATGCAGCTTAGCTCTAAGCAAGTGTCTGTTAAATGTCGAGATACCTATTTCTACTAATTGTGGGTTTGCTAGCAGTGAAGTCTTAAGGGGATAAATACTTCAAACCGTTGCCCAGCCCTTCCTTGGGAGACAGTCTGCCAGGCGTACACTGGAGGGTCTGGTGTGAGAGAGGGAGGTTCTGCCACTCCCTGCATTTCTATCAGTGTGCACTACCTCGCTGATGGGGAGAGGGTGGACTGTGTCCCAGGCTGGGTGTCACTAGTGGTGGGAGTCCTTTCATGGAAATTCTGTTGACGTCACTCAAACTCTGTTTAGTTTCTGTAAAGTGTGGGGCACTGTGCCAAGTTCTCCATCATAACCATATATTTTAGCAAAAGGGTCACAGGCTTTGCAGCAAACACGTCTGCTGCTAGATTCGTTTCCTCCTCTTCCCCCTCCTTCTGCGTGTGCCTGGACGCTTGCTTTCAGGTCTGTTATTGCATGTGATTGCCTAGTGGTGATTTTCTTGGCCTAGAAGAGGTGACCTTAGGCCTGAGTGTGCCTGTTGTTTGGTTCCCAGACTGCCCAGCTCCTTCAGCCATGAGTGGTCCTGCATGGATTTAAGTTTGCTGTTTGCTCTATTCATTTTCTGATTGGGTTTCTTTCCAGGTTTTGAAGGCTGTTCCATGGTTCCCACCATTTATCCCCTGGAGACCCTGCACAACTCCCTCTCTTTGCGACAGGTCAACGAGTTCCTGACGGCTGTGTGCAGGAGTTGCAGCGAATCGCATGTCCAGTCTACTGCAGGTACTGGTGAGGTGGGCTTGTCTCTGGGTAAGCCAGAACAGAGTCGAGGCAAGGAGACCTTTTGCTTTTTTACATTATCAGGACAGATCAGCATGATAGGACTGGCAATAAGCAGAGTCTGTGAAACCTGTTCCAGGATGTTCTAGCCCAGGAGTGAGCTATGGGATTCAGCTCAGAGCCATCTTAGGCCACTTGAGAGACAAGTAATCAGTCAGGTCTGTCTGTGGCTGATAAGTACAGTGACATGGATACAAACTTCAGCTTGGGAAATCTTAGCCTCACATTCCCAGGAGCTGAGGGACAGGCATGGCTCTGAATTTGCACTGTTCTTGAGTTCTTCCTGGAATGCCTGCTTGTGGCTGCTGGACTATAAGCCATGCCTTTATGTCTGTCTGAATATTACTGATCTGTGTATTTTTTTTTTTCTTCAAGCTTTGTTTGATTCAATGATTGGCAGCCAGATACCAGGAGACCCCTTTATGTCCCAGCGAATCCTGTCATCCTCCTCTTTGCCATTGCGCCAGCGTTCAGATAAGCCCCCTTGGTGTGAGTGTGCTCCCTTCTTGATCAGGGGTGAATGTGATGGTGAGGGAGGGAAGTAAAGGGTGCCAAATGGTGGAAGCCAAGCATTGGTGCTCGGGGTTTCTATACTCTGCCCTTGAAGGAACAGAAACAGAAAGGGGAAATAGGTAAAAGGGAAAGTAGTCATATGTCCTGTGAAAAAGCTTCCAAAGAAAGATGCAAAAAGGGAGTCTTTATAGTATTGTATATAATGGGGACATCCACTGTTGGATGGATGCTGTCTCTCTAGACATCCTCTGCTTTGTGCACTAGGACATGGAGGCCTGAACGCACTTCACTTTCATCTCAAGTTTTGCGATTCTCCATGACACATGGCCAGCTCAGTGTTGGCATGTGGAAATGCCTTCCTTTCCTAACCAGTCACGTACATGTCTCACCCAGAGCTCCATATAGGACAGCCGATCGTTTAGTTCTTCACTTACAGGCTTTTCTGCAGCTCCTGGGCCTCACTTGTCACAGTCTCTGCAGAGCTGGTGACTGTTAGTTAATCCGCTTTGCAGATCTGACTGGCACTCAGAGGAAAGGATTAGCCAACAGTTGCACAGCAAGTGCCATAATAACACACGTCAAGGTTGCCACTGAAAGAGCAGTCCTACTCTTCTCCTGGCTGTACACTCCTTGTGCCAGGAGTAGCGTGTGTTTGTGTAGGCAGCAAGGTCAGGGAACTGATCTGACTGAAAACAGTTGTTTAATTTACCCTCCTTTATTGGATTAGATATAATCTAGATCTGTTCTCTAGTTTTGCTCATTGTACAATATAAGTCAAGAATAAGCCTTAGTGGAGGAACAATATTTCTTCTTCCAGTGGTGACTCTAGCTCAACATTCAGGGATAGTGTGTGTCAGGAACCAAGAGGAGCAAAGTTGAAGCTGGGAGTGTTCCATAATAATGAGGAAATGAAAGAAACTGCTTTTCAGCTCAAAGCCCAACATCACATTTCACATTTTGTTCTATAATGGCAACAGAATCCACTCTTGGCTATACGCCAACATAGCACTGTATGACAAGATGTACGTGTGGTGCTTGTGCTTGGGTTTTCATCAGCTGAGCCACCAGAAACACACCTAAGAGCAGCTGCAAGCCCCTGCTAGGTTGCATGGCATGTAGACGACCCTCACCCATTGGCTGTAGAACTGTGGGACTGTGACAGCCTGGGTCTGCCCAGGCTTTGGGCTGGGGAAATATCAGCTAAATGTTTTAAGATTTTTCTTCCTCTTTGCAGACAGCAGTGGCCCCTCCAGTACTGTCTCCAGTGCAGGCCCATCCTCCCCAACCTCTGTGGACAACTGCGCTCGTTTCAGCTTCACTGAGAAGCTTTCCATCAGTCCCCCAAAAAGTGAGGAGCAGCTGACTAGCCAGTCCCCTGAGCAAGGAGAGAGCCAGCTTCCAGGCAGAGGGCTTGACGTGGAGGTGGGGATGTCTGGGTTGTCAGTGATGGAGCCGAGTGCCCCAGAGACCCTGACCTGGAATAAGGGCCCAGAGCCGGGCAGAGTCCTGGAGCTGTGCAAGAAGGAGCTGGTGGAGGAGGACTCTAGCCCAGAGGAGAAGAGCATGGTGGAGCTGGATGAAGAAGAATCAGTTGGGGAAATATTAGAGCCCAGTAACACAGGAAACCCAAAGCATGGTTCAGGGTCTGATATAAGGCTGCCTGGGGAGAGAGTGAAGCCAGGTGAGGGGTATACAGGGGGAATGACTGGCCTGGATCAGTCAGGGCTGTCCAAGGAGATCTTGGTGCCCTGTGAAGAGGAGCTGCTGGGAGAGGTGTTGGACCCAGAGCATATGGGCAAGGAGCCGCTGGGGGACGGTGCTCTGTCAGGCCAGCTTCTGTCTGATCACCTGTGCCAGGTGCAGCCGTTGCCTCCTGAGAAAAGCGTGGAGGACCTGCAGCCGCTGTGTCGGGCGGATCAGCAGAATTAGCGGCTCACTGGACAGCACACTGCAAGCGCTTCTACCCTGGAGGCAGCCCAGCTTCCTGCACAGCACCTCATGCAGCTGGCCGTCCACAGCATAAGCCATGTCCCAAGGCCACAGGACTCTGGGGTGTGGAAGAGTCTGCTCTGCTCATCCACAAGCCAGCTCTTTGCCATTCGGCAAGAGACAATGCCCCATCTACCTTGAACAACACATGCAGTCTTGGTACTGGCATGGCACCTCTATGGAGCAGGGACATGGGGCTGCATTGGTGTCCCAAGGGCTGTATGCTTGCTGGGACAGCAGAGTTAGAGGATTGGTACAGCCAAGGCTTTTGGGGTGGTAAGTCCAAAGGGGACAGATGCTCCCTTGAGATTTTTTGGCCCATAGCCTTCGGAGAAAGGCATTCTGGGCCCAGAGTAGTCAGATCCATCACAACCACCGACCTCCTCTCTGTTCCTTCCTTCTTCCTCTCTCATTTCCCAGCACTGGCCACCAAAAACAGGTCCAGAGAGTCCATGGCAGGAAGACTAGGAGAAGCAGAAAGCATTCTGAATGAGTGTGGGAAGGAGAGTAATGAGGGGATCAGGTTCAAGACTGCCACTTGCAAGAAAATGTCTCTTTGGCGTGGACTTGAATGTTTTCCTGCTGGGCTGGGGCAGGCAGGCAGGAGCCGGGGATCCAGCCTGAGAGAGGTGGGCAGGGAGGACACACACGGGTTTTTTTTCTAGTCCCCAAGGGTCAGGCAGGGTACAGCTCTGAAGTCTTGGTGACAGAAATTAAAAGAAACTGCTATTTGAACAAATCAGGATTAGTAGAAACCAATAACGAGAAATCTTTATTATATATAAAATGAAAAGTATTTAATACATATTTATGTAAATTACTTGTGAGCACAAGCCTGAGGGCAAGATTGGCACAGATGTCCCTGCCGCATCCTGAGTGCAGGCCAGGGCTGTGCCTCCTGCGCCTCCTGTATTTAATGAACAAGTCTGTGTGTTTGTCTGTAGCTAGGACCTGTGTTTTTTGTGAAGCTGTGCCCAAAGATCTCCGCGCTGTGTTGTGATGATGTGTGTTCACAGTAAATCTATGCTGTGCGTCCCACGTCTCTGTCTCTGATGCTGACTTGTGCAGCAGTGTGTGTGTGCCAGAGCTTGCAGGTGCCTGGGACAGCAAGCCCTGCTCGTTCTGCACCATCCTGGAAGAGGAACTGTGGCTGAAGTCACAACTGAAGTGAGTGCACAGATGTGGGGCTTTGCTCGAGAAGCCCAGACACCTTTTTTTTCCCTCCACAGAAGAACTGGTCATACTGGGGAAGAGGTCCTGGCTTCCCAGGTCCTAGGGTGGTTTGCGGTAGAACGAAGACGCTGGGGCAGCGTGTTCAGCTCCTTTCACTTGGTCCACACCTTCTCGTCAGTTCCAAGAACGTCTTGGGTACCGTGTCCTCTTCCTCATGCCTGATAATCCCTAGCTGCCAGTGTGGCTATTTAAGAAAGGTCGTGCTTACTTGCACTTGAAATGCAGCAGTCATACGTCTGCCTTGAGTGCAGCGCTGTGCTGGGAGGAAGCCTGGCCCCCCCCTTCCACAGGGCTGTGCCAACCTGCTCTTCTCTTGAAGAGGGGCCTGCCTCATGCTGTAAGGAAGCCCTCTGGCTTTCATTACTGACCCTGCGTTAAGGACCTGGAAGAACAGATACCCTGGCTGGTGCCTGTTGGGCCGAGGCCGCGGGCCTGCAGCGTGCCCCTGCCCTGAGAGCTGGCTGTGGGAGCGCGGGAGGCAGAGCAGCACTAGATCCCGCTTGTGCCCCTCCGGCAGTGCCTGCACCCTTGATCCTGCCGTTCCGCCTGCACCCTCCCAGGGTCAGCAGTGTGTGGCACCTGCCACCGCCAGCACCGCTGCTCTGGCAGCAGGGTCCCTGCCGGACACCAGAGCTGCGGCTCCTGCCAGGATTTGCGTGTTTCTCTCTGGGGAAGGCAGCGCCCACCTCTGCACCCATGGAGTGCAGACCATGGCCCAGGCCCAGGCAGGGTGGTTGCCATGATGGACGCAGCATCACCTGCCGCAAGCTGCCACTTCTGGGTGGGGCACGGCCCCTTCAGTGGTGGCATGAGCAGGTCCCGGAGCAGGGTTGCGAGGGGTGAAGGCCTGGCTCTCAGGTGCTCACCCCCACGCAGCTGGGAGCTTGTCGCTTCTAGGGCCCTGGAGCCTGCTGGTGGAATGGCTTTACTCCGTACAAACGCCCGGCAGATCTGCCTGCCTGCTGCCCTTGCATTGCAAAAACCAGCCAGGGGACGGTCTCAGTGCCAGCTGCCCTTGGGCCTCCTGCCAAGTAGCGCAAGAGGCAGGCTGGACTCTGGGTGCCAGGGAGCCCGGAGGGCGCTTTGGCGTCCGGAACCCTTTCCCTCAGCGAAAGTGGCTACTGGTTGCAGCGTCCTTGTGCTTCCACGGCTTGGCAGGAGCGGCACAAGTGCCGTGGTAGCACTGCCCAAGAGCTGCTGCTGCGGAAGTGCCACGTCATCTGAGCACAGAAGTGGCCTTTCTTGTGAGGCTCTGACGGCCATGTACTGCAAGGAGGGACGGCTGAGTGCTGCAGTAGTTGAATTCCTGGGTAGACGGCTGCCACTCACAAGAACCACTGTTATTTATAATGTTCCCCAATCTTCAGCCCATTTCTCCACCTGGAAATGAAAAGGGAATGGCACTTGGGAAGCAGCTCGTAGCTGTGGCTCTGCAGCTCAGTGAGAGATCGGGCCCAGGGGAGAGGCCAGAAGGGTTTTTGTTGTGATGAAAAATACAAACCTCCATATCCCTAAATTGAGAATATGTCTATGAAGTCTAATTAGTGACTAATTTTGGCTTCTGAATGTATCTTTTTGTTGCTGGAGTCCTCTAGCCAGAAATGATCTGGCTGCATTGGTACTTTGCATACTGGTAATTCTGTGAAGTTTTGTTCTCCAGATAGTTTGTAGGATCAGAGGGCTTCCTGATGCAGGGCAGAGTAACAGGGAGACAGCTGATTACTTGTGGCTGGTAGTGCTTACGCTGCGGAAGCAAATGTCCTGAACTCAAAGGCAGGTATTGTCCCACAGGCAGCCAAGAAAGCTGGGCTGCCTGCAGTGGAGCAAGAACGGGGTTCTAGTCTATGTCTGCTCTCCTTGATGGGTGGGCCAAGAAGGGATGGTGCCCTTTTTGTTTTAAAAGAGCTGCTTAGTAGCTGCCTCTGTTGAGAAGTCTGTGGTCTTTCATGATGCTCTAACACTTCCAAATGAACACCTGCAGAGTGTGTTGTGAAATCTGAGCACTGACCATATGCTCTTACCAGTGTCTCTACCATGTTTTCCTTGGCTTAGCAGCAGGAGTGATTAATGACAAAGCCCTTTCCAAACAGAAGGGTGGTGTAAGGAAGTGCTGTGAGTCACAAAGGAGGGGAAAAAAGAAAAGGACAATCGCACAATTTCTGGATACAATGGCAGGAGCTCATATTTTTAGCTTAATCCTGCCAAAGCCAGTTCTGGCTCCTCAAATCTATGCTGATGCATAAACTGCACTTTCAAATGCTTTTGGGCTGCATAGGTAGTGATATGCACAAACGACCGCTGCATGGTCCTGTGCCTCTGGCTGGGTGTAGCCACAAACTTTGCCTACAGTAGCTGGGACAGTCTGGATCAGGCTTGTCAAATCCCTGGCAGTTGCAGCTAAACAAAAGTCTTTTCCTGAATCATTGTCGCTGTGTGCAATGGGAAAGCAGTATAGAGAAATGGGTCCAGGTCGTGTGGCAGAACAGGCAGGAAATACCAACTGTCTGTACCATGTAGCTAGAGCGTGGCAATGGCTCGCGTAGCCTGTGGAAGTGACAGGTCCTCTGTCAGTCGGCACATATGAGCAAAGTCCTTGGTGCTGGAGAAACTGTCAGGTTGTACAGCATATGCAGGCCTTTGGCCTTTGGCATGGCAAGGTCCAGGCAGCCCTGATTGTTGAAGCAAGACCAAACTCAGTGTTGCTGCTATTGCCTTGGACACACCTCTGGCTCATCAGTTCGCAAATTTTGAAGGAGCTGGTTGAGGGAGGGCTATGTCATTGCCTTCCTGGGACCTGTCTGTTGCTTATCTGTTCTTCTGCTTTCCCAGAGCCATGCCACTTCCCCACAAATTACTAACCCTTATCTCCTGAAGTCGTACGCAGCAAATGATGGACGCAGCT